GAAAAACATAGAACAGAAAGAATGAAATTCCTGTGTTCCAAATCAACTTGTCACACATCAATATTAAGTCCACAGTGTCCTGGCAAACAGCACACTTTCATTTTCTGTCTCATTCTGGAGCTTAAATCATCATTATTTCAGTAGAGATTTCACAGGAAGCAAGAAAGATTGTGGCATCGAAATACATATTTATACTTTTTTTTAAAGATTTATTTATGCATACAAGAGCTGGGGTACAGGCGAGAGGAATGGGGGGGTGGGAGGATCCACCAGAGACAGTGGGGAACAGAACAGGCAGACTGACTGAAGTACACTGCTGAGGGGAGCGGCGGGCGAGTCAGGAGAGGTCTGCTGCGCCATTGGGGTCTCCTCCCTGGCCGGGGATCGAACTCGTGCTGCAGATAGCTTCATAGGTTGTGTCTTAACCCTTTGCACCACCAGGGAGGCCCTATATTTATGATTTTGTGGAAGTTCAACAGTAGGTGTATTTCTGAGCGGGCTTGCAAACCACACAAGGTCAGAAGCCTTGTGACTTGAGTGGGTTCTCAGACTCAAGCAATCACAAGAAAGAAAAAAAAAAACCCTGGGACTAGCCAGAGACATTTCAAGGAACTATAAGAATGCCAACAATATCCAAACCCCCCATTTTTAAAAGGGGGAATTTTTTTTGGCTGAAAATATTTCACTCTAAATGAACTGATGTTAGCTGTCAATGAAAGAACACCACGAATACACTGCAGGCACCTTTTACAATGTCCATCTGTGCCCTTTATTTTTTTTACATAGTGATTTTTAAAAAAGATTTATTTATACAAGCACTGGGTACACTCAGAAGTGCAGGTGGGTGAGAGAATTCACCAGAGACAGAGCGGGGAGCAGAACAGGCAGACTGATGAAACACACTGCTGAGGGGAGCAGCGGGCGGCAGGAGAGGTCTGCGTGCCATGTGGGACCCTCGCTGGCAGCCGGGGATCGAACCAGCGCTGCAGAGGCTGCAGGCAGCTTCGCAGCCCAGTGCTCAACTGCTGCGCCACCAGGGAGGCCCTACACAGCGATTTTTGATGTAGCAACAATTAAAACAAATGTTAGTCTAAAGCACAACACATTTTAGCAATCTTGAAATTCAACTGCACACAAACCACATAAAATTGACATTCTAACATTTCCACCTACGACTGTGGGGATACTTGAGACTTCCCCATTGACCTCAGAATTTTTAGGTGGACGCCATTTTAGGAGCAGACAGGGGATACTTGCCTCCATTTCACTGTGAATCCCACACTGTCGTGATGCAGGACTGCTGAGTGGGTGTCACCACCATGAGTGAGTCCTCCCCTGTGAGCATTACCCTGGAATTTGGAGTTCTGTCCATGCTGGCAGGAACCTGGTCCCTGGGATGCTGCTGCTGCCCACTAACCAAGGCCTCACCCGGTCACAGGCAACCACCTAAATCTTTGTCCCTGACCTGAACTCCCATGCTGGAGGGATGTGACAACCACAGTCTCCTCATTGCCCACAAGAAATTAGTGCTTGCAATGGGGTGTCATCAGTCATCAACAAGGCTCTCACAGGAAAGAGAGGTAGGTAGGGCTGCTCCAGCAGAAGGTAGGGTCCTGTCAGAGCTGTGCTTCCATCTCCATGGAATAAGGAGAGAAAGAGGGCAGCTGCCAGGAAAGAACACTGAGACTATCAGTTCAGTCAAAACAGATGCACCAGACAGGCTCAGGTGAGGGCTGTTTTTTTTCCCATTCCAAAGCCTCAGTTTCCTTATCTGTACAAGGGACCGTGTCCCCTCAATGTGAGAGGGATACATGATGCCTCCACCAGATGTTGACCAGGTGCCCACTGTCTGATAGAAGCTGAGGACACGAGCTAAGCCAACAGCTCAGAGCACTCCGGGGGGCAGGCAGGCACATGGGCAACTTCAACAGATGCCACAACGGCTGTAACAGGCTTGGAAGGCCACCACAATCTTCCCTGTGAGGGACACCTGACCCATTCCTGGGGGCGGTCAAGCAGGGATCCCTAGAGAGTTGGCTCATTTGAGGACTGACCCTTGTCAAAGAATTGGCCAAGTGAATAGGGGGGGAGAAGAGAGAGTAAGCATGTTGGAGAGGCTGGAGGTCTAAGAAAACAAGGGACAGATAACAACAACGTCATAAAAGTACGTTTAGAGGCTTAGACTTCGGCCTGAGCAGACAGTGGAAACCACTGAAGGACTTTAAGGCTTCCAACAAATGAGATGACATAATAGTTTTGCCTTTTGTGAGGGACAGGGAGGCAAGATGGAAAGGCTGCAGACAGCCCCTGGGAAATATTTGTTCCTTTCATTTTCCCTCCCCAGAGAGGCAAAGAAAGGAAGACTTGAAGACATTCAGTCAACCCACCCTAGACAGTAGTAATATGCTCATGCTTTCTGTTTGCAAAGCCAGACCACAAGTCTAGTTTCAGAAAGGATAGTCCATGGGAAGAGTGAGTGGAAAAGGCCCTACCTGTTTAGCAGCAGGTGACCAGCAGTCAAGACTTGCAGATTTTACTGACACATGTGAGCAGAGACGGGGCTATGATATGTGATTCTACCTTTATTACCAATTTAATGTTTTTCAGTTTCACGTTTTGAATTTCCTGACTTAATTCCTATCTTTGATTACTTCATAAACTACACTGACACTATGCTGGAATTTAAAAGCCATGTAGGCACCTCCCCGTTGGCACAGCAGGTTGAGCACAGCGCTGTGAAGCTGTCCACAGCCTCTGCAGTGCGGGTTCAATTCCCAGCCAGAGAGGGAGATTCCCACATGGCGTGGCAGACCTCTCCTGTCACGGCTGCTGCTCCCCTCAGCAATGCTTTCAGTCTGTCTGCCTGTTTTGCTCCCCACTCTGTCTCCGGTGAATCCTCTCATCCTCTCGCACCTCCAGCCCGTATGTATTAAATCTCATTGAACCGAGCATCTCCTGCAACCTGAGCTTCATCAACTCCAGCATCAGGGTCTCTATTGGCCTAAAACAGAAAATGTGTCACAGCACTAAATTCCACAATTGTCTTTGTGCCCCATCTGAAGGTGCATGAAGGTGCATTGTTCTCTTAAGAAGTGTGTTTTCATAAAGATCACACCAATTCCACAAGATTTCACTTTATCACACAGCATTGTGCAAAACCAACTGGACCCTGTTGATTTGAAATTCAATTAGAATAAAGAACAGTGATATCAAAAAAAACTATGAATTGACTATTAAGAGTTTGGATTGGATACCTCAAAAGGCAAACAAAGCAGGCAGCACACAGCCAGAATCAAGGAAGTATCAGGAACAATCGAAAGAACTTTCAGTGACCTCACCTAACAATATTCAGAGCAGGCAGGCCTCAGGTTTTTCAATCAAACTGTAAAGTCTCCACCCAACACCTGAAGGAGAACCACCAGCATAACTCTGGTCCCATCTGAAGTGTCCCAACCGCGTCATCTTCCAGGCTTGAACCATCATCTGCAAGAGAGTGATTTCAAACTTATTTACAGCTTCACCCAGACAAAATATATCCTTTCCCATTCATCAGATGGAAAAGACATAAAGGAAGGAATACCTGACTAGCCTAACATTCTATAGTCCCTACGAGTGCCCTCCCTAAAGACAAAGGCAAAGCTTTTCAGTGACTGGCTAGACGAGAACTAACTGGAATCCCCAAAAGCATTTGATTCAAGTATAAATCATGACTCAGCCCTTTAGAAAGGCTGGACAGTTGTAGCTATTAACCTGCAAACACACCATGTGCGGGGCAACTCTGAAATACAAGCATAATTTTAAAATTGTATTGCTTTCTTTCAAGTGTTTGACATTATTAGTTTCCACAGCTCTCCCATTCTTTAATATTTTGAGTTTTCTTCCTCAGGGTGTGGCTCTTTCCCCTAAGATGACAGTTCACAGAGAGACAGTTGTGATCCTCTAAAACATGCCTCTTTCTGCCTCCATCTCTAGCTCCCCCACACAAGGCCCAGGACGGGAGGCCTGGGGTCTCTAAGAAACTATAAACTCTTTTCTGACTCTCAAATTGTGTAACTGAAGGACAGGAAGCATTACTCTAAGACATTATAAAGCACACAAACTTTTAAAATGTGAAACTTCTATTTTAAAAGTTTCAGACGGTTATATATTTATTTCAAACGGTTATTCAAATTAATAACCTTGAAAGAACCTTTGATTCTTGCCTCCACCACAACTACATGTAATTAACCATCAAACCCTTTCAATTATTTCTTCCCCCTGAACACTCGCGCTGTAAACTCACCTAGCCCTGCTAACCCTAGCCAACCCCCAATCCCCTAACCCTAAACCCTGGCCTCAGCCCTAAACCCAGACACTAAACCATGAAACCTAAACTAAACCCTAACCCCAACCCTAAAGCCTAAATCCTTAACCCTTAATCCTAAAAGTTAAACCCTTAAACCTAAACCCTAACCCCACCCTAACCTCTACCCACTAGCCCTCAATCCCTTACCCTAAAGCCTAAACATGCTCCTCGCCCTCACCCTTTCCCCTTCCCCCGGCTTTGCTCGCCCTCCGCTTGCGTCTGCACGCAGCCGACAAGGGCCGCCAGGGGTGGTCAGGGAAGGACATGGCCCCTGGCTCCGCAGCGCCCCCACCAGGGTCCAGCGACAGCGCCGCCCGGAGCTGGCAGCGAGACGCCCCGCGGACGCCGGGCCTGCAGGCGGCCCAAGCGCGGCGCAGGCGCATCCACGACGTCAACCGGGGAGGCCTCGGCACAGGCCAGGTCCTCAACGAGCCAATCACAAGCCTGCAAGACGGCTGCAGCCCCGCCCCCAACCCTGACTTGACCTGGCGGTTTGAAGCATGCGCACTACTACTTCCAGAGAACACTGCGCCTCTGTCTGACGCGGTGCGCAGCGTGCGGCCCTGGCGGTTTGTCCAGTCCCCGCATGGCCCTCACGTGCCGCGCGGAGGTGGCTAAACGCAGTGCGCAGGCGCGGTGCTGGCCCGCCCCGGCGGTGTGTGTGCTTCCGGGTGGGCGCGCCGAGGGGAGATGTCGGGATGGCCCGGGCCTCCCAGCGCCGAGCCCGAGGGGGCACCGGCCCCAGCGGAGACGGACACAGGTAGTGCGAGCGGGCGGGCGGGCCGTGCTGCGGGCGGCGGGCGGCGGGCGGGCGGCCTCGGCGGGCCCACGGCCAGGTGTGGCGCAGCCTGGGACAGTGCGGGCCCTTCATCCGGGGCCTTGGCGGGGCGCGGCCCGCTCCGACTGCGCGTGCGCGGCCCGCCCCGGTAACCGCAGCCCCGCCGGCCTCATCCCGCCGCCCCCGCGCTGCGCGTCGAGGGGCGCTCGTCAGAGCCGGGCGGCGAGTCTGGATCCTCCTGCCGGGAGGTAGCGCGCAGGGCCCTTCCCTTGATGCCTTTTCGCCCTTCCCCGGCCGAATTTGGCGCGGAAGCTGGTGGGCTTCGGTGGCGGCCGGGGCCGGGAATCCCGCCGCCAACGCCGGGTCCAGTCGGGGCGCCCCGGCATCTGCGTCGTGGCCTTAGCTCTGGGGACAGTCATTACCGAGACAGGGCCATTCCGTGAGGGGCCAGAAGCGAGTGCTGAGCTCACCGTCAGCAGGTCAGCGCTTGCTGGCTGGGATTCACATGATCGCTTGTCTGTGGGAGAACCAGATCCCTTCGGAAACGTTGGTCCTTGTGGGCGTTTTAGAAATAAAGGCTTCTAGAGCTTTGTACTTGGCTGTGCTTCCGGCCAATTACAATAACTTCTGATTCTTTGCTGCTTTTGTTACACACCTTTTTTATGGCTCATCATGACATCACCGGCGCTGACCTAGAGCAGTATGAGTGCCCCCTCCCTCGCCTCTGGTGTCACTGTTCACAGTCTAAGGAGAGGCCAAAAAAGAAGGGACCTGATTCAAGTCCCACAATGTCCACATCAGGACCCAGAGCAGGGCTGCTGGCTGGAGACCTGCCCTCAGCCCACGCTGTCCCAGCCCCAGCATGTCTGATCTTTTCTTACACCTCTTACCCCTGTAGAATTCTAAAATGTTTGCTTTTATCTACACAGGGCAGACCAAGTCCTCGCAAAAAATTGAAGACTTGATGGAAATGGTGAAGAAGTTGGAGAAAGGTTACTGTCTCCTGTGTCCCAGGCTTAGCTTGAGGTTTGGGGTCAGGCCGTGGAGGATTCAGTTCCAGGCCCCAAAGTCACAGCCTTAAGAAATTAACTTGTTCAGTGTCTTTTACTATTGAGCTTATTTCTTTGGAGTAAAAGTATGGCTATATAATTCAAAGTTAACCCTTTGCACTCCGAACCTTTCTGGACATTGGCTACCAATGTCCCCTGAGAGGGGACAGCAGAGTGCAAAGGGTGAAAGTATAAGGCCTTTGCACTGGCTCCCACCCTACCCGGGAGCTGTGGGACCTGTCCCCTCACTTGATTTAGGGGTGGGGGTACCCACATCTGAAGCACATTTTTTAGTTCCTTGTTCCCCTATTTCACTTGACACTGGTTATCATACCTGACTCAGTGTCTTCCTTTATCTGTTCCTTGCCCCTCTTCTGCCCAGAATGTGAATCCCTGCCTGCTCTGTCACTATCCCTCAAACTGCCTTTCCTTTCTGCAGCAGGAAACCTGGAACCCAGGGTTGAGGTCCTGATTAACCGGATTAACGAGGTTCAGCAAGGTGAGTCCTGGGACCTTGGCTTGTAATCCCAGCTAACTACGTGATTTGCAGACCTAGTACAAAATAAAAATGCAGTCCCTCTTATTTAGAAATTGCAAAGTATTTTATGACAACTACAGCAGAGCATTACACCAAGTATACCCTCATCTATAGGAGCTAGTTACTGTCTGTTACCCTAGCCCGCTACCAGCTGTTCAAGCACAGAGGGCTTGGGCTCTGGAAGTCTTGCTTCCTGCTCTGGGCCCTGCTAGGTTTGCTTGAAGAGCATTAAGAAATGGCACCTTGTGCAAGTACTAGTGGGACTTGAGGCTGCACTTGCACATCTGTCCTGTGTTCTTTGCATAGCTAAAAAGAAAGCCAGCGAGGAGCTGGGAGAGGCCCGAACTGTCTGGGAGGCCCTGCAGAAGGAGCTTGACTCTCGTGAGTATGCCAGGGGTCACCCAGAGGTCACCAACGTCATGGCTCCCTGGATCCAGTGTTCTTGACACCCAGCATCCTCTGTAGCCAAGGGCCCCATCCCCTCTGGCCTCAGGTCCTACCAGTCTCCCTCTCTGCCACTCAGTGGGTATGGGAATGTTCCAGATATGATCTCCAAACACTCTTCTACTTCAGGGCTGTTGTCAACCTGTGATCCCATAGATAATACAGGTTCCTGTTGTCTCACATCATCATTAGCTCAAATGTCTCCTCCCAGACAGTGCTTCTCTGATCGTTCCCTTTACAGATGGTGCCCTGACTCAGTCTGGTGACACGCTCTTTCCTGTCTCTGACCCAGTCTGGTCACGTGTTTCTTCCTGTTTGATATGTTTTTAGTGACACATTTTTCTTTCCCACCCATGTAAATCTTTCATGAGTCCTCATAGCTACTCTATGTCAACATCAGGGCCCTGGTGCTCACCAGAAGCATGAGTGCAAGAGGGACCCACCTGAGGGTCCATATTTGAGGTTGGGCTTCCAGGACTGCAGACCAGCCAGACCCCAAGGTGCAGGGGGTGGTGCCTGATGCTTGATTCTCTGACTGTTTTCCAGTGAATGGAGAGAAAATGCGCCTGAAGGAGATCCTGAACAAAAAGCAAGGTACCTGCATTGCTCCATCCTGTTTCTGGCCTTGGCTGACATACAGAAGCCCACTTTCCAGGGCAGTGGAAACCTTTTGGAACATGAATCAGCTTGGTTTATTCTGTGATTCCCCCTGACCTGCAGCACATGGCGAAATCCCATCAGATGTTGTGGACCTCATGGGCTTTGGTCCCATTATCTGCCCAAAACTGACACCTAACATGCTCTCATGGGCTCTGGGTTCCTTTCTCTGCAGAGACCCTGAGGATTCTCCGGCTGCACTGCCAGGAGAAGGAAGGTGAAGCACAGAGGTAAGCGCTTCTGCTGAGCCTTGCTCTGTCTTGCCCTTCATTCTGGGCATGCACAGGAGGTGAAGTAGGACAAATGAGGGCTGCAGCAGTGAGGGGGGTAGGCCTGAGGACACTTCTCACTCGCCACCCACCCAGCTGTGTCTGACTTCACCACCCAAATCCTTACTTAACTCATTTTGTGAACAGAGGCCCTAAGTCCCAGCACACCGAGGTTGGAAACTGGGAAATTCAGATGTGAGAGTGTGTGCACCTCTGCACTGTCTCTGCCTATGTGGCTGCCCCCAGCCCCTCCAGCAGTCCTTCCAGGGGCCCCTGCTCCTGTGTAGTCACAGAGGAGGCCCTCAATCTAGAAGGCTAAAGTGAATCTCAAGAGGTGGAAGTCTCACCCCACACTCTTCTGGGGTGACATTCAGAGAACATATTTGTGGACTGCCTTGCCCTCCCCAGGAAGCATAGCGTGCTGCAGGGGTGCAAGGCACGGATTTCTGCCCTCAACTCCCAGATTGAGGAAGAGAAGAGCAAACAGAGGCAGCTGAGGTAAAGCCTGGTGCCTAAGGCCTGGGGCAGATGGGCTACAGGTGGGCCGATGTTGGGGTGGAGGTGAGAGAGAAGCTGCCTCAAGTGAGGGTCAGGGTGGCAGAGGTGCTCCTTCCCAGCAGAGCAAAAAACATGGCAAGACCCTTGACTGGGTCAGATTGGCAGGGGTGGCTCAGCCCATGGGCCCTCATGCTCTATGCTTGGCCCCCAGATTGGACTTCGAAGAACAGCTGGAGGATCTGATGGGTCAGCACAAGGACCTCTGGGAATTCCACGTGAGTCACTCAGCTCCTCTTGCCTTAGCAGCACGAGGCCCACAATGAGGGATACCCGCCAGGCTTCCTCTCCTGCCATACCCTCCCTGTCCCTGAGGAAAGAGCCTTGAAATTCTCTGTCTACTCTTACCACCCTCACTGCTCCCCACTGACATCTGTGCTGGCCCTGCCCACCCCCACCCCCCACATCTCTGCCACTGTTCCGGGGCCTTACAGTGGACATGAGGCACCTTCATGAAGCAAGGAGGGGCTGTCCATCGAGAGACCCATGGCTGTTTTTGGGGCCATCCCGGCGCAGGGCGGATAGCTGGGGACCAAATACCTCAGTTTTTGCCACTCAGGCCAAACAGGAGTGACTGCAGGGGGTGGAGGGGGGGAGCCATCGTGCGGCTGGTGACTAACTCTCCAGAGAACAGTCTGACTTGTAGTTCTTCCAAGATTCCCTATGGCAAATACTCCCCCTTGGGCTGACCAACATGCAGGTGCCTGAGCACCCCATGTGAGCTTAACTCGAGCCTCTGGTCTGTCGAACCTCTGAACCTGGATCCTGCCTTCTGCTCAGAGGGCTGGATTAGGAGGCATTGAGTCATGAAGAGCAGAGACCTGGTCCAGGCAGGCCTCTCTGGCACCTGGGGAGAGCTGAGAGAGATACTGGCCTCCTTTCTACCCTCAGAGGCCGGAGCGACTGGTCGGGGAGATTGGGGCCCTGGACAGCAACAAGGAGCAGCTGCTCAAGGAAGGTAGGCTTGAGGTGGGGGGGGGGGCGCTCCTCTCTCCTACCCTCACCTCTTCTCACCTGTCCTTCTGCCCCTTCCTGCTGCAGAGAAACTGGTAGAGGCAAAGCTGGAGGATGTGAAACGCCGCCTGTGTTCCCAGTTTGGGGCCAAGGGCCGCTCCACCATCACCGAGGGGCTCTTCCTCCGCAGCCAAGAAGCAGCAGCTGTGGTGTAAGAACAGGACTGGGAAGGGACAAAGGAGTGAGAGAGGGAGCAGCCAGTGCTGACAGCCCCACCCCCCCCCTCCAGGAACCTGTTTGAGGAAGAGAATGGGAAGTCCCAGGAGCTCCTGGAGGCCGCGGCCCAGCGCCATGAGCAGCTGTGGCAGAAATGCCAGCAGCTGCAGCAGAAGAGGCAGAGGTGGGTATAGAGCCCTGCCTCAGCCCCCAAGGGAAAGCTGGCTAAAGAGTCTGCTCCCCTCCGGGCTCCCTCCTGGTCTGACACCCTCTCATTCCTCTCCCTCCCCCCCACCCCCCTTTTGTGTCCAGGCTGAAGGAGGAACTGGAAATGTTAGGGGTGCAGGTCCCGGTTCAAGCCCAGAACAAACAAGAGGAAGGGACTGGCCTCGGAGAAGCTGTGAGCCCTGGGCAGAGATCTCTACCGAGAGGGGCTGGGGGCGGGAGGTCAAGGAGGAGGGCCCCGGAGTCCTCACAGAATGTGCTTCAAGGAAAATCATTTCCTCAGGGCCACAGCCCAGACAAAGAGGTGGAGGCTGGCATTGGTGGGCTGGGAACAGGGCAGGCCTGGGGAGTGTTGCCACTCACACCCTCAGACCTACCCTCCCGCAGGCCAATCCCAAGTCCCTTGGACTCAGAGAGGAGGAAGACCCGGAGCTGCCCATGAAGCAAGGCCCAGTGTCGTCCTAGCAAGGAGATCCCCCCACCCCCTACCTTGGTACTTAGTCCTGGCACTGCGGTGAATAAAGGTGCTATTTTGGTACAACTGCCTCCTGTAGCCGGTGCTGTGAGGGTGGAGTGGTGAGGCCTGAGACCCCAGCCCTGAGACTGAGGGAGCTGTAGCCACACCCCAGCCCTTGGCCTCAGCCAGAGTCCCACTGAGGACACTCAGTGTTATCTTGCATGTCTGGCCTGTTGGTTTCTAGGACCTGACAAGCTCTCCTAGGCCACCAGGCAGAGCAATACTGGCCTGCGCCCCTGCTCTGACAGGCCTGGGAGGCTGCAGACCCTCCCTGCAGTGGTTTCCTCAACTCCTTACTCAAGACTAGGCCACACAGAGCCCCAGAAGCCCCAGCAGTGAAGAACTAGTTGCCGGGGCCCTTGTCAGTCCCCTGCCCACTGCCCCCCAGTTAAGCAAGGAGGTGTGGCTGGAGGCTTACAGATCACCATGCAGAATAGGTGTCTGAAGCCCGGGCTTGCTGGGGCTGTCACCTGCAGCTGCCGTGGCTGTGGCTGTCCAGCTGAGGGCAAGGCGGTGGTCAGAACCCATGACTGTATAGAGTCCTTCTCTTGGGAGGGCAGATCCCATGCAGGCCTCACATGGGACAGCACTGTCCGCATACAGACGTGACACCTGAGTGACAAACTGTCAGAACAGCAGTACCTCCCAGGAGAAGCTGGCTTCTCACCTGGTGACAATGGAAGTGTCCCATTTAAAAGCTGCAATCCAGGCACGCCCATGCTTCAGACGACTAACTGTAGTTGGTTCACGATAAAATAATGAGAGAACATAGTTCAGCTGAGGAGGAGAGACCTTTACAAAATTCAACACCTGTTTATATGGGGAAAAAAAGAATTAGAAGGTAACTATGTACAAAAAAACAGGAAAAGCCTGAGTTTTATGAGCTTGTACTTTAAAAATGGAAGGGGGTCTACAGATAGGTCACTGAATGGCTAAAAACACAAAATGGCTGAACACAGGCTGTAGGTGGTACAGAGCTTTGTGCACTTTCCGTCACTGGTCACCTTGCGTGTGCTTGGTCACTGCAAGACTGGAGAAGAGTGACCATTGTAACTTCACTGGCCACGTGTTTATTTTTTTAACTCATTTGCCTGTTTTTAGAAGGGGATATTTACTTTCCTGATTTTCAAGAGCTTTTTTTAAAGATTGATAAAGTTACACAAGAACCGAGGTACAGGCCAGATGTAGGGGGGTGGGTGAGAGGATTCACGAGAGACAGAGTGAGGAACAGAACAGGCAGATTGACTGAAGTACACTGCTGAGGGGAGCAGCTGGCGAGACCAGAGAGGTCTGCTTACCATGTGGGTATCTGCACGACGAGCTAGGGATCGAACCCGCGCTGCAGAGACCGCGGACAGCTTCACAGCACTGCGCTCAACAGCCTGCCCCGCCAGGGAGGCCCTCAAGAGCTCTTTTGACCATATCTTTGTGATGGCCAATTTTCAAGGCCATTTCAAAACCAAGCAAAAACCATTAATTCACAGGACATATTTCCAAAATTATTTGTGTTTCCACATTTTGTATCAGGATATTCAAAACAATTCTTGTTTCTGGCGTTTTAAAAAAATTTCATGTAGGGCCTCATGAAGGCTGCTTAATGTTTATATAGTGATTTATGTATTATTCTATGGAAATGACTCCCTTAAGGGCCACATACCATTTTCCCAGAGGTGGTTTTGCCAATTATTTTCAAAAAGGCTGCAACAGCCTTGCTTCCCGTCACCAGGGAAATGCTCCCTGTTGTCCCCCTTGAATGGAGTGTGTTTGTTGGTTTGGAGCTCCCTGGTGTGGGTCTGCTAGACTTAAACTGCCTGCGCAGCCACCATTATTGTCACCTGCAGTTCTGCGCTCCTATGCAAGGGTCAGAATCACCCGGTCAATCAGTCATAGCAAAATCTTACAAGGTGCCTTTCAAATCAACCAAGAGCAGAAAGCTTAGTCACCCTGGGAAGGGCGTGCATCACAAAGTAAAACCCGGAACCCCCCGGGGGCCGAGGACCCGTGTATGCCAAGGGATGCCAGAAGCTGATCAGTGGACACCTTGTTGATAAGCACTGAACCATGGCCAGGGTCTGGGGTCTGGTTTCGATGACAATACTTGGTCATCAAGCAGATAAGAATCATCTGGTCAGCATGGCCCACCAAAGCTCTAGATGACAACAGCACATTCTTTAGTTCCACCGTCTTTTTCTCCTTGTCCTCCTGCCCCATGTAACTGATGCTGAGGGATTATTCGATCAGTAAAAAGGCCAGGATCTTGCTTGTTCCACAGTGTCCTGCATTGTGCAGCTGGCTCCACGCCTCCCCTTATCAGTGTGGTGCTGCTGACGCAACAAGTGGTGCCCAAACAGGGACCCCGCACCCTGCTTCTCAAGCACTGAGAAGAGACTTGGACATCCTCTCAGGTCTGGCCAAAGGCTTCACAGACCCAGTCTGTGACAAAGCAGTGAGAAGATACTTTCAGTCCTGCCTTTCCTGTCTTCTTTTTCTTCTAAATCTCCCTGGTCAAAGGCCACAGACTCAGGGTCTGTGATGCTTTCAGTTTGGTCTTTCCTTTCTCTTAGAAACATGGGTAATAATCCCCCCCACCACTCAGAGCAGTTATAAAGATCAACTTAAAGCTCTCTATAGGGTAAGGTAAAAAGTATCAGGCTTTTCTGCCCTCCCGCCATTAGGATGGATGATGGAACCCTGTGGTCCTGAATGCATGCCTGATGGCGGCACCTGGAGGAGGGTGTGGGCATGCCTAAGTGGGTACACCTGGGCTGAGACTGGACTTATAAGGGCAGTGTCACAGGGACGCCAACGGAAGCAGAGAAGCAGAACGAGAGCGAAAGGGAGTGAAAGAGAAGCATAGACCACCAGAGAATGCTGGAGAGCTCAGAAAAAGTAAAGACTTGCTGGGGGCTGGGAGGCTGGCCCCCCGGTACCCCCGCTTGCTGTGTACCCAGTAAAATCCCAATAAAAGCCTGAAAAGCCACTGAGGGCTCTAGGACTTCTTACCCCGTCTGCTCCGATCATAGATAACCTGCTGTAGAGTCAGGAAGACCACGGTGCAGGTTTTCTGACCCAGCAGACTGGGTAAAGGAGTCAGAGGCCCCGGTGTCTTTTGCAGGCTTTTATTTAGATTTACCCGGTACACGGCAGGCAGGGGTGCTGGGGGGTTGGGGGGCCAGGAGGCTGGCAGGCCCCAGTCCCCATCAAGTCTTCACTCTATCTGGGTGCTCTGGTGTTCTCTGCCTCTTTCTCGGCTTCTGCTGCTGTCCCCGTGACGGCGCCCTTAAAAGCCCAGTCTCAGCCCAGGTGAATCCCATCTCCCTAGGCCCACACCCTGCTCCAGGTGCCACCACCAGGCATGCATTCGGGACCGCAAGGATCCATCATCTATCCTGATGGCGGGAGGGCAGAAAAGCCTGACATTTTTTCCTTACGCTACAGTCCACCTCTAAGGGTTATTCTGCCATATAGTCTTTATCAGTCTTTATTTTTATTTTTTTAAGATTTATTTTTATTTTTTTATTTATTTATGCAAGCACTGGGCACAGTCAGAAGCGCAGGAGGGTGAGAGAATCCACCAGAGCCAGAGCGGGGAGCAGAGCAGGCAGAGGGACCGAAGGACACTGCTGAGGGGAGCAGCGGGCGGCAGGAGAGGTCTGCGCGCCATGTGGGACCCTCCTCCGGGGGCCGGGGAGCAGCCGGGGATCGAACCAGTGCTGCAGAGGCTGCGGGCAGCTTCGCAACCCAGTGCTCAACCGCTGCGCCACCGGGGAGGCCCTTTATCAGTCTTTATATACAAGTCATAAACACATGTCTCTTGGCAATATGAACACTGCAGCCATGGCCCACGGAAGTAATTGAAGTATATCACAATACAACAAAATACACCAGAACACAAATAAGTCCAGGCAGGACACCAACCTAGTGGCCAAAGACAATTATTGGTACCAGCAGATGATCCACCACATCTGCTGCCAAAGGCACTGCTCATACGAGGGAGGGGAAATCTCTCGACATCTCTGTCACATGCCAGGAGCCATCAGGCTTCCTGACCCCTGGCTGTAGTCTCGGCTACAAGCCACACACCGCATCCACCCCCAGGATGCACTCACTCCTGGATTGGGGATTCTCTATTCTTTGGGGGTAATCGCCAACCCTCAGGGTTTCTGTCTGCAGTCGCTCCAACACTCGGCTTTCATAGCCACCAATGCGACTCGCAGACCCCTGCACTCAGGCCAGCCCCCTGCACACGCACATGGGTCGGGGATCCAAACTCTACATACGGCCTCTCTCGGGTCCCCTCTTCGGCTTGGGCTCCACCCCAAGCCGCATTCCCCACCCGTCCCCCGAGGACGGGTTCCTCAGCTCCTCACCCTCACTCAGGAATGAGCAGGGCATCGCCCACAGGTGATTTTACAAGACTCACTGGTCTTCCTCAGCTTACTTAGTGCTTAGCAGCCGCTCAGGCTTCCCAAACTTAGCATCAGCACCAGCTTTTGCCTTCTCAGTTGGCTTTTCTCCTCTGCTTAGCTGCTGGGCATACACAGGCTGCTTTTGGCCATCAAGGCCCACTGGCAACCCCCAGATTCCCATCTCCTGGGGTGTACAAATAGTACCCTCCCTCAGGGTCCCAAAAACTTAACTTGCCAAAGATCTTCCACCTTCTGGAGGGATTGTCAGTCCACGTCCATTAGTCCAAGTCCGTTGGCCTCTCCCTGCCATCAGCACTGGTGAGCTCCGAATTGTGGTCCTCTCTTCCCCAGCGATTCCTGCTGCCTCGGGGGTCATTGGCTGGTCCTCTCGGGCGTCTCCTTCACGCAAGGTCTCGTCCTGTAGCTCCCGGACCTTGTCCCTCTCCTGTGTCGCCATGATGCCTCCAGCGTCGTCACAGGCAAATGATCTGTTACTCCTCAGTCCCTGCAGGTCTTCGGAGGGCTCCATACCCGTCTGCATGGATCATCTTGCCGACTTACGCCAATTGTAGGGTCGGGAAGACCACAGTGCAGGTTTTCTGATCCAGCAGACCGGGTAAAGGAG